GGTTACCAGAGACTTGGGGAGAGGAGAATGGGAAATTATTGTTTAATACATACAAAGTTCCAGTTAAGATAATGAAAAACTTTTGAAGGTGGATAGTGGTGATGATTCCTGAACAATGTGAATGTGCTTAAAGCCATTGAAACTACACACTTTAAAATAGTTTAAATGGTAATTTTTATGTATATATTACTGCAATAATTTTTTTAAATGACTATGATTAGTATCAGCCAAAGTAAAAAAAGATATTATCTTCAGAGGTGTCATGGCAAGAATGACAGTTGAATTTTCAAAAAAGAAACTATGGGAACCAGAATACTTGGAATATCTAAAGTGTTATAGAAAATAAATTACAGCCTAGAATTCTTTATCCCATAAGACTCACTTTCAAAAGCGAAAATGAAATATTGACCTTTTTTAAGGCAAAGAAATAATGTAGGAATTTATCACCAACAGATCTATATTAAAATAAATGCTGAAGACAGACAATACCAAGGTTAGCAAGGACATAGAGCAACTGTAAAAACTGTTTACAGCGAAATAAAGAAAAAGAAAATGCATAAAATTTAGAAAGGAAGAAATAAAATTTACATTTGCTGACCCCATGTATGTACTTTGAAAATATAAAAGAATCTAGATTAGGCCGGGCTCAGTGGCTCAGCCTGTAATCTCAGCGCTTTGGGAGGCCAAGGTGAGTGGATTGCCTGAGCCCGCGGGTTCGAGACCCGCCTGGGCAACTTGGCGAGACCTCATCTCTACAATAAATCAAAAATTAGCCAGGCGTGGTAGCATACACCTGTAGTTCCAGCTACTTGGAAGGCTGAAGCGGAAGGATCGCCGGAGCCCAGCAGGCCGAGGCTGCGGTGGCCGGAAGCGGCCACTGCACTCCAGTCTGGGCGACAGAGTGAGACTCCAACTCAAAAAAAAAGAATCTAGATTAGATTAGAATCTAATCTATTAGAATCTATTAGATTTAAGTGAATTTATCAAGGCCAATACAAGTGAAATGAACAAAAATTACTTTTATTTCTGTATGCCAGCAACAAACAAATAATGAATTTTTTAAATACTGTTTTTATTAGCTTTCAAAAAATTTCAAATACCTAAAATAAGCCCAGTGAAAGACATGCATTTCTCTACATTGAAAAGTTTAAATTATTATTAAGATAAATCAAAGAAAATTGGAATAAATGGAGAGATATACAGTGTAGAAGGATTGGAAGACTCAGTACTGTTAAGATGTCAGTTCTCCCAAAATTAATCTATAAGTTTAATGCAATTTTAGTCCAAATTCAAGCTCTGTCTGTGTGTGTATATGTTTGTGTGTAAATTGACTGCTTGGTTCTAAAATTTATGTGAAATTACAAAAGACCAAAAAGTCAATCCAACAAAACTGGGAAATATGCAACACCACGTATCAAAACTTATATGAACATTAGTGTAATGTTAAGATAAGGATAGGCATCTATCATAATACTGTAAGAAAAGGATTGACAGTGGTGGGAAACTATGGGCAGGGAGGGGAAGGGAGGTGGGATTAACAGTAGTCTGTTAATATCTGTCTGGGGATGGGGGCCACCCCTTATCAACAAGGGTGCCTGAACGATGCATATTTATATGCCTAACCCTTAACTGTACCCCACAATTTTAAAATAAAAAATATGTTTAAAAAAAGAGAGAAATGGACCAATGATAGAATCCTAAAATAAATACACCTACATGTGGTCACCTGATTTACAACAAAGGTAATGTTGCAATTTGGTAAGTAAAGGATGGTCTTTTTTTAAAAAATTAATGGTGCCGGGTCAATTAGATATAGGAAAAAGTGAATTTTGATATCTTTCTCACAGCCCATACATGAAAATCAATTCCAGATGGATCATAGACCACAGATATGTCTTTTCTTTTCTATGCTTCTAGAAGGATATATAAAAGAATAGATTTGCGACCTCAGAGTTGGCAGAGATTTCTGAAACAATAAAAGCTATAACCAAGCCGAGCACAGTGGCTTATACCTATAATCTCAGTATTTTGGGAGGTGAAAGACAGAGAATTGCTTGAGTCCAGGAGTTCAAGACCACCCTGGGCAACCTCACCACTACAAAAAAAAAAAAAAAATCAAAAAATTAGCCAGACATGGTGGTACATGCCAGTCCCAATTACTCAGGAGCCAGAAGTGGAAGAATTGCCTGAGTCCAGGAAGTTGAGATTGCAGTGAGTTGTGATCATGCCACTGCACTCCAACCTGGGCAACCAAGTGAGACACTGACTCGAAATTAAAAGAAAAGAAAAGCTGTAACCATAAAGGAAGAAAATGATAAATTGGATTAAATTAAAATATCTTTTTAAAAAGACGTAATCAGAGTGAAGAGGCAAGCCACAAAGTGGGAGATAACATTGACATTTATATATTCAGTAAAAGATTCACATGTATAATATATAAAGAACTCCAGCAAATCAATATGAAAATGACATCCATGAGCCGGCGGGTTCAAGACCCGCCTGGGCAACTTGGCAAGACCTCATCTCTACAATAAATTAAAAAAAAAAAATTAACCGGGTGTGATAGCACACGCCTGTAGTTCCAGCTACTTGGAAGGCTGAGGCGGAAGGATCGCCGGAGCCCAACAGGTCAAGGCTGCGTGGCTGGGAGCGGCCACTGCACTCCAGTCTGGGCGACAGAGTGAGACTCCAACTCAAAAAAAAAAAAAGAAAGAAAGAAAAGAAAATGACATCCAGTACAACCAAAAATAAGCAAAAGATTTGAATAGACATTTGATGACGATATTAAAATGACTATAAATATATGAAAAAGTGTTCAATAATCATTAAGAAAATACAACTTAAATCTACAATGCAATATCAGAATAGCTAAAAGAAAAAAGACAATAACAAGGTTAACAAGAATTTGAGTAATTTTTTTTTAATGTACAGAGTCTCACTCTGTCATATAGGCTGGAGTACAGTGATGTGCTCATAACTCACTACAGTCTCTGCCTCCTGGGCACAAGGGATCCTCCAAGGCGTTAGCTTCCAAGTAGCTAGGTAACCAAGGGTGCAGGTACACACCACAACACCAGGCTAATTGTTTTTATTTTTTATTTATTTAGAGATGGGGTGTTGCATCATTGCCCAGGCTGCTGTTACTCTCCTGGCCTCGAGTCACCTCAGCCTTGCAAAGCCCTGGAATTACAGCCCTGGAATTTCATGTGGATATATATCCATGGCACCTGGCCAGATATTAGTAATATTCAAGATTATTTGGTTTTAAATTCCAGCTCTGCCACTTGCTAGTTGTATGACTTTGAGAAAATTACTTAACTTTCTTGAGCCACAGTTTCAACATCTATAAAATGAGAATAATACAGAGTTGATGAATGAATGAAATGATTTATGTTAAATGTCTAACATAGTTCATCTTGTGTCAACTGTTATTATATTATTTAATCCTTAAAATAATTAATGAATTGTTATCATTAGTTTTTAGATAAGGAATTGAGGTCTAAGAAGATAAATATTTCCCAAAGTTATTAAAAGATAAAGGAAGAGTTGAATACACTGCTATCTCAAATCAAAGTTCTTGCTTTTAGTTATTAGGCATACCACTGACCAATTCCCAATTCCACTCTTGGAAGGTATGTAAAGTAGTAAGTGATTGCCAATCATAAGTAATGCTTTGACTCAGTATCAAGTTTCTCTTATAGCAGTTAACCTGTACATTTATTATTCAGACTCCTTTCAAAGCTCTAATACATAACCTAGATTCCAAGCCCTGCTATTCTAATAATTACATAGTTGCAGATCTTAAAATATGCTGCCTAGTTTGTATGATTCTTGGAGTTACGGTCCTGCTCCTAGTCATCTGCCTACTTATGACTCATTCAGGTCACAGTTCAGATGTCATCTTGATCACTATAACATCATCCTCATTTATTTTCTTCAGTACTCAACACAACCTGACAGTGTTGTTTATTGTCTTCCCCTTTCTCCCAACAAGGCTATAAGCTCCATGAAAGCAGAAGCCTGTATTTCTGTTTTGTGTTGTTTGTTGGTTTACCTTTACAGCCCAGAAGAGTAGAGTAATTAAAAAATTATTAAGTGAGTGAATTAGCTTTTTCCTGTCCTTTCAACTCATGTGCTCAAATTTTTTGTCGGTTCTAACCCTCAGCCTGTCCCTTCAGAACATGACAAAACTTGGGTGATTCATCCATCCTCCTTGTTCTTAGAGCTTACTACCATTTGGCTCCTAATCTAACAGTTAATGACAGGGTAGTCATTCTAATGATGGGGTAGTAATTTTGACAGATACTTTAATTAAAAAGGATTTCCACTTTAAAGGGACTTACATCTAATTTTTAAATAAAAATTTTAAAAATAAATGCTATTTTCTGCTTTACTAAAGTTATAAGTTAAAGTATGAGCCCTTATAGGATTTTCCACAGTAATATTTTTCTTAATTACTACAGTGAGACAATAGATGGCATATGATTGGTGCTCATGTTAATGTTTCTTTTCATTTCCTTTTATTAAAAATTGTCATTAAAATCACTTGTCTTTTAAAAACTATAGATACTTCATCTATCACAGAAACAAAAGAACAGAGTACCATATGTTCTCACTCATAAGCGGACCTTGAACAATTATCATAATACTATAAGAAAGAGATTGGCTGTAGTGGGAATTTTCTCAAACATACTGGTTCAGTGCATGAAACAAAGAACTGAATTTTCTGATATATTCTTCTAAGATATGGGCCAGGATTATGAACGATTGAGAAATGTTAAATTTCTGTATAATAATAGTTTTTAAAGCTTACACACATGACTTTGATTATAACTTTAAAAATAAATATTTGGAACTGTTTTGACTATAAAGATATATGATGACTATGATACAATTTTATGACAGAAAATTATTAAAAATTAATCTCACTTAACATGTTTATTTTCATGTGGATATAATCTTTGATTTTTCTTTAAAATTATTTTTCTTTTAAATCTCAGCATGCACACTATAGAATCAAAAAATGAATATTTGGAGGATGAAAACTTCCAAACAGCAACTCCTCAGGTAAAAACTTAAAGCTATGTTGTAATATATCTCAAATGATATAAAATCAGTCAGATCTTTAAACAAATTTTTTTTTTTTTTTTTTTTTGAGACAAGGTCTAGCTCTTGTTGCCCAGGCTGGAGTGCAATGACCTAATCATAGTACACTGTAACCTGGAACTACTGGGCTCCCACTTCAGGCTTCAAGTAGCTAGGGCTACAAGTTTACATGCCACTACATCCATCTAATTTTTTAAAAATTTATTTTTAAGGGACAGAATCTCACTAAGTTGCCCAGGCTACTCTTGAACTCCTGGCCTCAAGTGATCCTCTCAACTTGGCCAGCCAATGAGTTGAGACTACAGGCATGAGTCATCAGCACCTGGTCTTAAAATTTACTTCTAAAGTTTACCTACTAGTTAGGCTTCTTATATATGTCTGGTTAAAAAATGAAAAGTGATCATTTTGAAATAGCTAGTTTTAACGTGTCCTAGGAAATGAGCAGGAGAATGGAACCAATGGAAAGGAGTGACTGTGGAGTATTTTAGGGCTAAAGAGGACAGATTTTAGGAATAAAGAGAAATATGGCTTATTATTTCTTGCCACATCCAGGAAAATAATTTAAACTAATATTTAAACTAAATACAAGTCTAAATTAATTAAAGTGTTGTACTTTGTATTTTGAAAAGACACAAGTTTTTTTTATTTTTATAAGTATACAGAGTAAGTCATTAGACCTTTTGCTGATCTAGTTTTACTAAGTAATAATTGTTCATAATTAGAATTATAAATTGCTTATTTTTAAAATAAAGAGTTTCATGGTTCTTAAGGGCCAAAGAGTTCTTTTAAAAAATATTTAGGCGTGGTGTGGTGGTTGTGTCTGTAATCCTAGCACTTAGGGAGGCTGAGGCAAGAAGATTGCTTGAGCCCAGGAGTTCAAGACCAGCCTGGGCAACATAGCGAGAACTTGTCTCTACAAAAAAAATTTAAAAATTAGCTGGGAGTGGTGGTGCACACCTATGATCCCAGCTACTTGATTGGGTAAGGCAGAAGGGATCATGTGAGCCCAGGAGATCAAGGCTGTGGTAAGCCGTGATCATGCCCCTGTACTCCGGCCTGGGTGACAGAGTGAGACTCCAACTCAAAAAAATTTTTTTTTAAATATTTATCATTGATTCTAATTTTTTTATCTGTGGAAGAAGTCATCTTACTCTATGTCAATTTATTATAAACTCTAAAATAATAAAACTTAAAATAATGTTCACCTACCTTTATTAAAATTCACTGTAGTATCTTTAACACTTTTATAACAGTGACAGAACTTCCAGAAAAAGCCCCTGCACCAGAGATCCAGCAGGTTAATCATGATCAGATATGAAGAACAAGTGTGCGTGCCACCACACTTAAAGAACTGCATTATTCATTTTTAGCCATTAGCTGCTTTGGTGTCCCCTGTCTTCCTAGTCATTAAATGTCAATGCTTCCCTTTTCTCAATCTGTCTATGCACTCTGTTGTTTGTTACCATTTCCTGTGACAATGTGATTTCTCTCTCCCACCCAAATGATCAATTCACTCAAAGTGCTGAGGTGTGTGTGTGTGTGTATACTCACACACCCATGACAACCATATGTTTTGTTGTTGTTGTTATTGTTTATTGTTTGTTTTTTTACATTGGAAGAAGCTTCTCAATATTTTCTCAAACCAAAGATTCTTCTTTTCCAAATTAACTGTTTCATAAGTATGCTAACTACCATGAAAATGCCTGGAATATTGAAGTATACCCTCAAACTAAGTATGTTATTTATGAATATTGGTGGAGGCATGCCTAAATTTCTGAAAGTTTGATCTATGTTTTTCTCCTTTTTCTTTCAATTATATAATTTTTCAAATGAGATGAATCCAAGTAAAATTATGTTTCGCCTCCTTTCCAATTTAGTTGTATTTTTATTTCACTAAAGTTTTGGTGAATGATCTTAGAGAAGTATATAGAGGTTGAGCACTTTAATTATTATACCTACACTATAGGCTCACTTATTTAGTAACATAAGTGGTTAATGAAAATGATAGGCACTCAAGTCTGTAAAAGGCTAAAACAAGGTACCTTGCAAAATGCACTGCTGTGACATCCTCCAAATACCTACTTAATATAGAACATGGGTCTTCTTTTGTGTGTGTGATTTCCCAGGTTGACAGTAATAATATGAATTTAATTATAAGATTTGGTGGTATAGTACATATGTAAAATTGTATGAAAAGCTTAGTTTTTAAATATTTTGTTGTTTTACTTCAGATCCTCATTGGTCCTAATAGTAGTGCACATGAAGAAACTAAGGAAACCGTCCTGTCAAAAGCAAAAGAAACAGAACCACAGGTGAAAAAGAAGATCAATATTCTTTGTCCTCCACAAGGAAAATTGAATACAGTTATTACAAATGGTATGTGAAATGAGAAATGTAAGTGGAGATAAAATAATAAAATATATTTGGTACATATTAAAATACAAGATTAGCCAGGCATGGTAGCGTGCACCTGTAGTTCCAGCTACTTGGAAGGCTGAGGTAGAAGGATCACCTGAGCCCAGCAGGTCGAGGCTGCAGTGGCCCTGAGCGTGCCACTGCACTCTGCCTGGGCGACAGAGTGAGATTCTAACTAAAAAAACAACGACAAAAAAAACCACACACACACAAGAAAACTAAACCACTGCTTAGTCTATATACTCCAGTATGCTTACAACATGTCATCATGAAATAAGTAATATACAACCACATGAAAGAAAGCAACAACCAAAGAATCCCTTAAAGTAGCATATACTCTAGATAACAAAAGGAAGTATAGAACTGCAGTTTCTCCATAAATAATAGTTAACACTTGCCAACACCACAGTGTATACAAGTTAAATTTAAATAAGAAATCTAATTCTCAACCACAAACAGAAATCAGTCTTATCACATTTAATTACACTATTTATAAACCTTATTTAGGGGATGGCTTACTAATTCCCAAAGAAATGGATATTCTAGGGTTAAGAGATTTAGGTTTTAGGATATTATTCCTTTTGTATTTCTTTTTAGCTTACTTTCAATAAAAGTATTCATGTATTTTCATGAAGTTGTTTTTCCTTCAAGTACATTAAAATTTTTCTTATTCACCCAGCAATGATTTTCAAGTAATATTGGGGACAGAATTTCTTTATTAAAATCTTTTCATCGGTTTTATGAAGTTAGCAATCTTAGAAGTTGAGGGTCCAAAAAAATATCCTAGAGACTTCCAATTTTCAATTCTACATGTAAGGTGATTAGATGTCATAACTCTGTCTTAACAAATAAAAGCCTGAGAAACTTGTAAAATCAACAAATCTTATGTCCATCAGAGAAATAAGTCACAGGGCAAACTGCTGCCCCCACAAAATGGAAAGACTGGCAGATTCAGAGAATTATAACTTACTGGAACAAAAACCTCTTTGGGAACCAGTAGCAGGGTAAGTACCTAAATTGTAATTGACAAATTGGCTGAAGTTCTGTGTGGACAAGTAGGAGAGTTAAAAATTCCAGGGGAGGCCCTCTCATGGGATTGGAGAGATCCACACTTTTATAAAATTTTCTTTCTGTAGCCAACCAGCAGAGGGAGAAGGAGAATACCAGGGAAGGCAAAAAGTAACCATTTTTAAATACACCACAGAATCCACACAATTCTGTTCATATGAGACCTGCCCTCAAAAGAAACTATTTTATGAGAGCCTAACCTATACAGGTTTTATCAGAGCCTTCCTAGGGGAAGATAAATATCCAACACCAGCCAATCCTCTCTAGCTTTTCACATAGTTGAAGGGAAACACCCAAATCCAACCTCCTATATCCATCCTGTAATTACTAAGGGAGTGAAAAGAAAAATTGAAAGGTACTTATGAAGTTTACAGCTCAGGGGCACAGGCTCACTAAAAGACTGAGACCTACTCATAAAACTATGAGTATGCTCTCTCACCCCTCACATTTTACCAACCATATTACTAAAATGTTAACTTCTCACAGGTCCATTTACCCAGAACATCATGTTCACCTTTCAACTAAAATTTACAAGGTGTATTAAATGACAAAAAACAAAACAAAACAAAACACTTTAAAGAGACATCAAGCATTAGAACAAGACCCAGATATTGCAGGTATGTTGGAATTATCAGTCTGAATTTAAAACAACTATGGCTAATATGCTTAGGTCTCTAATGGAAAAAAGAAGAAAACATGTAAGAACATATGGGTATTGTAAACAGAGATAGAAATTCTATAAGGAAGAATAAGAAATAAATGCTAGAGATCAAAAACACTGTAACACATGAAGAATGCCTTTGATGGAGGCATTAGCAGACTGGACACAGCTGAGGAAGAATCTCTGCACTTGAGAATATTTCCAAAACTGAAAAGCGAAGAGGAAAAATACTGAATAAAAATGGAACAGAATATCCAAGAACTGTGAGACAACTATAGAAGGTATAACATACATGAAATAGGACTACCAGAAGGAAAATAAAGAAGGAACAGAAAACATATTTGCAGCCCTAATAACTGAGAATTTCCCCAAATGAATGTCAGTTACCAAATCACAGATCCAGGAAATTCAGAGAACACCAAGCAGGATAAATGTTTAAGAAAAAAACTGTACCTCAGCATATAAAATTTCAGAAAAATCAAAGATTAAAAAAACTTGAAAGAAACCAGAGGAAAAATCTTACCTATAAGGGAGCAAAGATAATAATTATATCCATTCTCTCCTCAGAAACCATGCAAGCAAGACTAGAGTGAGTGAAATATTTAAAATGTTGAGGAAAAAAACCTGCCAGCCTAGAATTCTATATCTTGTAATATACTTCCTTCAGAAGTGAAGAAGAAATAAAGACTTGCACAGATAAATATTGAGGGAATATGTTGTCAGTAGACTTGCCTTGCAAGAAATGTTAAAAGAAGTTCTTCAGAAGAAAAGTGACATAGGTCAGAAACTCAGATGTAAAGAAGGAAGAATATTTGAAGAGACTATGTGAAAGTTAAAAAAAAATTTAATTTTTCTTGATTGATCTAATAGATAACAATTTGTTCAAATTAATAATGGCAACAATGTATTTTATGACTATATATAAGGGAAATGAATGATAGAATGATACAAGAAATGGGAGGGAATTTTTTTTCATTGTAAGGTACTTGTTCTGCTCAATATACTCAATATAGTATTATTTGGAAGTGGACTTGGATTAGTTTTAAATGTATGTTACAAACTCTTGAACAACCATAAAAAAACTTAAAAAGAAGTATAATGCCAAGAGAAAATGAAATAATATAAAATGCTCAATTAAAACTAGAAAAAGGAATAGAAGGCAAAAATAGGAACAAAGAAGAAGGGTAATTAATAGCAAACAGGAGTTGATAGATAGTAATTCAGCTGTATCAATAATCACTTTAAACATCAAGGGTCTAAATACACGTGGTATATACAGAGATTGTCAGAGTGGATCAAAAATAAGACCCAACTATTAAATGACAAAACAACTATATGTTGTTTAAAAGACACATTTTGTTTAAGTAAAGGGAAGGAGAATTATATACCATTCTAATACTAATAAAAAGAAAGATGAGCCGGGCTCGGTGGCTCAGCCTGTAATCCCACGCCTTTGGGAGGCTGAGGTGAGTGGATTGCCTCAGCCCGTGGGTTCGAGACCCACCTGGGCAGCGAGACCTCATCTCTACAATAAATCAAAAAATCAGCCGGGCGTGGTAGCGCATGCCTGTAATTCCGGCTACTTGGAAGGCTGAGGCGGAAGGATCGCCGGAGCCCAGCAGGTGGAGGCTGCGGTGGCCGTGAGCAGCCACTGCACTCCAGTCTGGGCGATAGAGTGAGACTCCAACTCAAAAAAACAAAAAAACAAAAAGAAAGATGAATTAGCTATATTAATTTCAGACTTCTGAGCAATGAAAATTATCAGAGATAAAGAAGAGCATTACACAATAATTTTCCAAAAAGACATAACAATCCTTAATAACATGAATGTGTGTAACAAAAGAACATCAAAATACATGAATCAAGCCAGGCCCAGTGTTGTGTGCCTATAGTCCCAGAAACTTAACAGGCTGAGGCAGAAATATAGCTTTAGCCCAGGAGTTCGAGACTGGTCAGGGCAATATAGCAAGACCCTATCTCTTAAAAAAATACACAGGCCCAGAGTGGTGGCTCAGCCTATAATCCCAGCACTTTGGGAGGCTGAGGCAAGAGGATTGCCCGAGCCTGGGGGGTCGAGAACAGCCTGGGCAACTTGGCAAGACCTCATCTCTACAATAAATCACAAAAATTAGCCAGATGTGGTGGAGTGTGTCTGTAGTTCCAGCTACCTAGAAGGCTTGAGGTGAAAGGATCGCCTAACCCAGCAAGTTGAGGCTGCGGTGGCCATGAGCGTGCTACTGCACTCCAGCCTGGGTGACAGAGTGAGACTCCAACTTAAAAAAAAATACACGAGTCGAAACTGATAAAAGCATAAGGAGAAATTGTTGAATCTACTTTTCTAGTTGGAGATTTTAACACCCTTCTATCGGAAATAGACAGATCCAGCAGGCAGAAATTAAATAAAGACATAATTGAGAAACATTTATTCTACTTTATGGAATGAAGTGCTGCTCAATTCTGGAATAGCAATAAAGCCAATTGAGATCCTTTAAAAAAAAAGTTGAACTCAACAGTACTATCAATCAACTGAATATAATTGACATCTATAGACTACCTCATCCAACAACAGCAAAATACAAATTCTGCTCAAGCACACATGGAACATTCACTAAGATAGAACATATTCTGAGCCATAAAACACATCTTAACACATTTGAAAGTATATAATCTAAGTTTTCAGGCCACAATGATTTTAAACTAAAAATCAATAACAAAAATGAAGCTGGAAAATCATAAAATACTTGAAGATTAAACACAATTCTGAATAACACTACGTTAAAGAAGAACTCTCAGGACAAATTAAAAAAATCTTTGCGCCAAATAAAAATGAAAATGTAACTTATCAAAATTTATGGGGTGAAGAAAAGCAATGCATAGAAGGAAATTTATAGCATTCAATAATCTTCTCTCCCTCCCCCCTCCCTCCTTCCTTCCTCCTTTCTTTCAAGTCAGAGTCTCCCTCTATACCACCTAGGCTGGAATGCAGTGGCATGATGACAGCTACCACAGCCTTGACCTGCTGGGCTCAGGCAATCCTTCCACCTCAGCTTCCTGAGTAGCTGGGACTGCAGGTGCACACCACCATGCCTGGCTAATTTTTTTTTAATGTATTGTAGAGACAAGGTCTTGACATGTTGCCAGGTTAGGCTTGAACTCCTGGGCTCAGGCAATCCTCTTGCCTTCGCCATCCAAAATACAGAGATTACAGGCATGAGCCACCGTGCCTAGCCAC